TATATATATTTAAACGCTATATCTCTGTCGTACATCACGATTTCTTGCAAGTTTGTTTGTTTTAAAATTGTTCTTGAAATTTATTGTGTGAAGCTTTAGTAGCGTAAGAAGAATATTCTCTACGAGTATTGTCAAAATGTATAACCACTGGGCTATGTTTCGTTATATACAACTAGGCAGCACACGTTCTTACTGTTGTGATTTAAAATAAACAACATAACAAATATACAAACGTACTTCCTATATATATTTCTTCACTTTGCATTTTACGATATCGAGACTTATTAATTTATATAAAATAAAGTTATTAACGTAAGCCTAATGCAGTCGACCAGAAAAGACACAAGTTCCTCGTGTAGCAATAGCACAGACGTTTGCAACAGTTATAATAATTACATTATTAAAGTGTATCAAAGTATAAATGACCTTATAAAATTGGTAGTCAATTACCTAACCCTTAATAAAGTAAGAGTCATTTAAGCCGACTATTCAGTTAACCCAGGAACGATTTTGTTTTAGATATAATCACTATTCTCTGCCGCCTCAAGTTTTTCCTCGAGCCAGGTACTGCGAGCAAAAGGTAGCGCCGTCACCCTACGCGAGTCTCTAATCCTATACACTTTGACGTCGTCATCCTGATTAGTCCACCTAAATGTCCAGCTACGTTCTTGCTGATCATCCTTTGTGATGGTCCATATCTCGACCCATTGTCTCCGCTCACTGATGGCTTGGCACGTGTACAGCCCTTCGTCAGATGCATTCAAATTTTCTATATTGAGGTAATTAAGCAATGAGCGGCGGGCTGGAATCTCCACCGCGCTTAAATTGCTTGCCATCTTCAAAGGGACGAATTTCCAAAATGCCTAAAAAGAAGCCACATTGTTTAGCATGCCTTTTTCTCCTTCTAAGATTGTCTGTACTGATCATGGTGTGAAAATAGTTACTCGTATTCCCGTAGCAACAAACCAAGCGTTAACAGTTGGTTGGATATGATTTACTATATATACTGATATAGTTATTTTTGCAAGACATTAATCTAACTTGAGTAACCGATAAGTACCGTTTCATGGAACGTCGTATGCAGGAAATGGAACATACCTATTTAATAATTTCAACCTTCAGCTTTTGCAAAACTGAATTCTTATGTTAGACAGGATAAAAAATGTTTTTAGCGTACCATGATACCTCTCTGAGATCCAGACTCGAAGGGACAAGCAATCTTCGTCAGTGGCGTTGTATCAGCTAATCGCTTTGATGTACAGATGATATCTGCTGCCCTAGCATTCACAAAGCCCTTGAACTGAGGTATAAACAATGCGGCCCGGGATACATTTTCATAGATATGGCTTTTTGCTACAAACAGCTGCGGATGCAGTTCGCTCTTCGAAGAGCGGTAAGGTGTGCGACCCTGGTAGCACTTAAGCGTGTACCACTTGAGGGATTCGGCACTGTCTTTGTGGCCATCAAAACCTAATGAATGCGTTTGACCCGTTAGCAGAACCATTAGGAACACGGAAGGGTACCATAGAACCTGCTTGGAGCTCATTATCGCGGCAAGAAAAACTGATTAGAATTACCTGCAGTAAAATTGGAATTAGGCCTAACAATATGTTAGCACGCTGACGATGGCTCCTACGCAACTTGGGTCAGCTGACTGATTGTTTTTCCGGTATGTGGCAGTCATTGACGGCGTAAAACAAGAATCGAACTGACTACAGACGACAGAAGAACAAAAGTAGAACCGTACGATTTTCGAATGAACGTGCACTTGAGTTCGTGTATACATCGTCGTGCCATAAATTTGGCGCTTGATTACAAATAAGACCCTGAAGAATCGGGTGATCTCAAAATTCTACCTGGGCATTTGGAAGATCTCTTACACAACCTATTTGAATGGAGACGAAGTAACTAACTTGACCCACCCGACGTAACTGAGCGTAAAACCAGAACAGAGTATTTTTAGTAGAGCAGACGAAACTACATTCCCATTTCGTATGACACGAACATTGATGTATTATTCAAAAACATTATCGATGAGAACTGATAGACACCACTGAGCTGTAAATCTGTCTCAAGTAGGACTACAGTGCTATGTATGGAGTGAGTACAGACCAATATCAGCTGTGCGGAACACGAATGCTGCAATGAACTGCGCGGGAACGCTATATCGACATACTGCTTACTTCGGCTTTCGGTCGTACTGGCTTGATCTACTCAAATTGGACTCTATTTGAAATAGAAACATCATGTTGGATTCAGCCGAACATGTTCTTACGTATAAGCTTTAGCAATTTGCAAAATAGATATTTTAACGTTTTGCATGTGCTAGAAGTCTCAAACGTGGCTCTTAGGCTTACTTTTACTATATGCGCTAATCTAAGCGCCGCAATTAGAGCTTTGCTTCGGGAGTAATCATTTTTAAAATATCCCTTCCTTTTTAATAAATGTAAGTTCGTTATAGTGTCGTTCAAATATGCTGTATACGAGAAGTTCTGAGGAAACTAAATCTCGGGCTAATAGTGGACCAAAAGAAACGCAAAGATGCGACAAATTTTAGAAGTGTTAACCACTGAGGCTCACCTGGACGACGAATTAATAGTATCCTCTCTAAAACAGCCGTTAATCATTATATCAACAGAAAATGACTTTAGAAGCTATTTTGATGAACTTTCAAGCCTCTAAATATGAACTCTGAAGCCTACCTCATTCCTCAGATTTTTCAAAAAAAAAAAAAAAAAAAGCGTGGAAATTGGCGGTAACGAAGACTGCCGATTTCTATATTGATTATCTATAACTATTAGTCTCCACTAATTTTCTATAGATTTTGCCCGGGCTGGTATTACGCTAAGCGTAGACTGTTAGCTCTGAATCTACCTTCCAAACTTATTCTTTTTCTGATGATACTCAACCGGCTTGTAGTTTCAGATAGCCAAAGGGAATTTTATAATACACATCATACTGGCCACCCATAATTACAAGCCAATTAAGTATCCTCAAAAGCTACTTCGTTTGAATTTGTCGTTTAGAACTGAAAATCAATGCTTAACGTAATCAAGCTTGCGTTGTTCTAAAATGAGAGCCCCGATGCGATCTATCAAAAATTGGTAAAAACCCTTAGCAGAGAGATAATTCGCGAAACAAAGGCTCGTTATTAGTACAATAATTTTCAGAATAAGAAGCGTTGAAGATATGTGCGGAACATTCGATTTGGACAAGTATCTAGCATCTTGAAGAGAAATAAATCTTTCGCTCTCTACGACACCAGCAATGACTCATGATGGTTGGAATCGTACAAGAGTCAAGGCGAAGTTTGAAGTTCACGAGAATTGCTGCCTGCTTTGCGAGATATCAGAATACCGTAAGCCATACAGAAACTGCATTTGTAAATATGGTAACTCCAGATGTTGCGTATACCCTCGTAATGCAATCAAACAGACCGGTTAATCCAAACTTTTAAAGTAGAGTAACAGACTGGACGGGTGTCCATTTATACTAGGTTATGTGTATTTACGCGAATACGTGAAAATGATCGAAACGAAAGATACGTGAAAACGAAAAGATCAGTAGCGTTGGTAACAGGGTTACCAATGGCTGTATGACTATGTATAGTGTGAAGAAGTAATTATATGGACGACTATAACTGGTGCCTATGCGACGATACGCAATCGGTAAACTTTGTGTTTTCTGTTGAATATCCAAGCTTCAAGGTCGTTTCAGTATCTACAAGTATATATATATATATATAAGAAGTCAAATATATTAATATAGTGTGGTCGTAATAACATAGATAAATTTATTTAGTATTCATCTGGGGAACTCCACCAACATCGTATAAATATACTTATTATTCATAACCTTCTTATCTCTTAAATGAACAACTTTCACACGCCACGCGACCCGCCAAAAATCAAATATGCATATTATATATTATATAGTAACATCATTTTGCTATTTGTTTGACTGCGTCAGTCCTGTCTGTCGCGCGTTATCGTCTGCTATCGTTTGCTGCCGGTACCTTGTACACGTCATTGATGTTGTCATATTTTTGTTAGAACTCAGCAGCATCTTGCGCCTTGTCTTTCTGCTTTTATGTCTGTTTCTCTAATCCGCAGGAGCGAGTGCGTGTATGTGTCTGCGTATGTATGTCATACTTATATATCAACATATTCGTCATAGTATATACATATACGAGTGGGTTCGGTTCACTCGGTCATCGGTGGACAGGGCGGCGGGTCGCGAACGAGTGGGAATGTCTGACACTTCACCTTCTATTTGATATTAGTTAGTATTATAATATTGTTTTATTTTTTCTCCCACACCCAAATCTCAAAACTCTGCTGATCAAAATAATATTTTCCAGGGCAGCTGTACTCCGACTGGCCGGTAGTTGTGTCGATATAATAGCTTTCACTTTTTGTATTTCCATCAGTTTTTCCTTTCTACAGAACGGAGATCCCCGGCCGTGTAACCCTGAGCCTAAAGTCTCAGTTCATTTAATGCTTTCATATTAACTGTTGCTGGTCGTGTTGTTGTCATGCGAGCTGAAAGCTGCGACCACATTCGCGTAATGGACGAAGGCTGAGGCCTGGAGAAACACTTTGCACACACGATGTCGCCGCTTTTGATGTCGCCGGGTGACGTCAGTTATTTTACTGTTTTTATTATTACTAGTTAGCGTTAATCAATATTTTTATCCTTGTTAATTTTGAGTTATGGCACGAGACAAAAACATAGTAGTCTTATGTATATATATATATATATATATATATATATAATTCTTTGTCATTTAATCTTCTTAGTTTGGCTTGAATAGTCGGTAGTATCATATAGTTAGAGATGGTACACCTTAAATAACATATTTTAACTAACAGTTAAATTTTTTAGGCAGCTTTCTTTCCATCCACTTGAAAAGACCGCTGCATCGACATTTCTGTTGATTTAAGGGGAATTTCCTGAAGGTCACGGGTGAACCGAAAGGGTCAAGGTTTCATCGTGTGTTAATGCTACGCTAAGACCTATTTTTTCCAGTGACCTCCGATACAATAGGCAGAAGATCTGACACATAACAGTGGGCGGTTCGATTTTAGCAGTAATTAGGTACAGCACTCGGTTGCCTTTCAGGTTGCTTGTTCACAGGCAAATATAGTAATGAGATATATTGATGAGACCGCTGACAAGTGCAAATGAGCCGATGACTGAGTGAATCCAATTTTAACAGCCTTTTCTGCTGCTGCAACCTAATTATCTACAAATTATAAATTTAACTTTCCGATGCTTGCTATAATCCAGTCCATTTTAATCGATAATTGATACCGACGTTACTCATGAACAGATGAAGCGGCCTACTCAAGCCGCGCTCCGTTTTTCCGATTACCTGTCAGCATATATATATATATATATATATATATATATATTAACAACATCGCCAACAATATCATCATGAGCATAATAATCATCAACGAGGCTCATTCCTCATATCCGTTATTACCATTACGATGATTATCATCTTTTATTTGTTTATCATCACCAGCATCGTCATGAGCAGAATGAAGTTTTCAGGACTAATTACCTTTCCTGTATTCGTTTTTTGGCCCTATTTAATTGATTTGGTTTTGTAATATGTTCACAATGATATCGCTAGCATGATTACACGGGTTTTACATTTTTGCCGTGTTCGATTCTGTGTCTAGCAATGTGCTGCTTATCCTTTGACTGTTGTTGAATTCAGCAACGCTCAAGGGATGGATATTTTTCTATACGAGATAATAACCAACAGCTGACTTGGCTTTCCCTTTGGATGTAACTGTTTTATATGCTCGTGCTGAATACTAGCACTATTTATCCCGGGGTTCGATACCGAGTATCGGGGACGGAGAGGAGCGATGCGACTTCTCGTTATTCTAGTGGGGTTCCAGGAAATTTTACGATAAAGGAATTTCGGGAACAACCCTGAAAAAAAAGGCCATTGTTAGTAAAGAAGAAAATGGTGGACAATTATCGTAAGCTAATTTAAGTGACACTCTCCTTCGTATGCTTTTTCTCTCCTGGTCTGTGCCTTTGTCCTTGTTAAGCATTTGCTCTGTCCACGAGTAGCAGTTCTATTGGAAACACCTTTTTTATATCGGTCTTTCCCTATAACACGTAAAGAACAATAGCATCATCACATAACAGCTGTTCTGCTACCACTGATTTGATATATCTATGATGTTTGGTTAAACGAACGGATTATACGGAGGAAAAAGTCACCGATGGGTAATCTAAGCTATATATATATATATATATATATAGAACGGGACTGCTATAAAACATAACAAAGCGCAACATAAACGAATATTGAAGTTTTTCATTTAATTGACACTGCATGTTTTTCTCGGGTCGCCTTTTCTTTATTTGATTTTATTTTTTGCTCAGTCCGGCTGAGACGCCTAAACCTTCTCTAATGGAATCCGTTCTACGGTTTTTTACAAGTTGCTATAACCTGTTGTGTTTCTTATTGTCACTTCTTCAGCCGCCTGCTTAATTTTGTGAGCGTTTACAATCGTTTTTGTGTTAGTTTGTGTTTTTACTTTGGAATTGTTGAGATTACCAGTCTTAAGGCTAATATCCTCCCATTCAATCTGTCAGCAAAGGTGATGCGTAAGACGCCATAATTCTTTGCTAAATTTTCGTTATTCAATAGTTGACTGTATTTTTACATGATAGTTTTTGCTGATCTAACACTTCGTAGCATGCGTTCTTATTTTTGAACCGTTGTATTTATTTTTTTTTCAAAAACGCGCTAAACAGTCATTCATAGTCAGTTAATAACATATCCGATATCTTTGTCCAAACTGGGCAGCATATTCCAACTATTTGTTTTGATCGCGCAACGCTCTAGTGCGAATCACCCAGCAGGAACATTAAACTTGTAAGCTTTTTAGTTAGTAAAGATTGTTTTTTAGTCTACGAAAAGATTGATCGTACTAGTAGTTAATACCATAAATACATCTCGCGTTTGTTAAGTTCTTCGTTTCAAAGGAATTTCTCTTCCAATTTTCTATTCAGTCTGTATAGAGGCGTACATATCTTAAGCAGTATATAGTTTTGGGATCTTTGGGTAACTTCTAAGATACCCAGCTTCGTCGTGCAGTGCTAAGGTCCCCCCACAGCCGTAGTTAAGAAAAATCGTCCATGTTTTGTTCACAGTCAATTGTCCTATTCTCTTTGAAAAAATGTGGGCTTTCTTTACGGTATGCTTTTAGTTTAAGCTAAATAGACGGAACATTTCCTGTTTCGTCGGTTTACGGTGATAAGCTTCGACAGCTTTGGATCGTATCAGGGTTTTCCAGGTACCGAATTTGTTCTTCATACGTTATATGAAATGTAACGCGTCATTTGTTGATGATTTTGCTCACCTTCGTTACATATTGGACTTGTCCTGGTCCATTGGTTCTTCAAATTTGCTGCGATTATCAGGGCTACCTTGCCTGCAACAAATAATCCACATGATGAACGTTATACTCACCGATTTCGAAAGACTAATCAAATTTCGATTGAAAAAGTGTACCTTGTAGTACCTTTGGAGTAACGTATGAAGAGATTACCTGGCCACAGATAAAAGCGCCATAGCTGTAACGGTGTCTTCGCTATCCTTACTTAACTGCATCGCCTCTAAGGACGAGCAACCTATGGTAGCCGCCCATTGCTTCGTGCACGGCCAGTATGGTGCTGCGAAAGGAAAACCAGTAAACAATCCTAATACTTAGTTATCAGATATTGCAATATTTCATGTTGAAGTTAGTCTTTCTTCTAAAGGTGAACGATAAATGGCTGATTTGAGATACACTTTGACATTTTTCTCCTTATGCTCAACCCAGCTATGTGAAGATATAGGTTTAGATGTTGTTGCATTTACGTGCATCCTGTAAAAAGAAACTGAGCTCACCCGCGTCGGATAGCGTCCTTATAAATTATATTAAAAAAAAAATAAATAAACCAGACTGGAATCTGCTCGCATAGTTCTGTACTGTCCCGAACGATTAGCATGGTAAGTGCGCTATCACCTCATTTGCCCCCTGATTCGTCCCGCATCATTGCAGCTACCGGGATTTCTACAGCACTACATGACGTTATTATTATTCTCATCAAGTCGACCACATTCAAATATGACAAAGCTTAGCTTTGCTGTGGGCAACAGAGTTGTGGGCAGGGAAAATACCAGGGGATAAGGACTAAAACGGTGTCAATTGGAAGCGCATGATGACGACGACGACGATCCACCAGGACCGCCCACAGGACTCACTTCGCATCGGGTTCGCTTAAAGTCGTCAGCAGCCTACGTACCCTCGGTCTCGGCCAGCGTAAATTGACGCCTATAGTAGTAGCAATGATTGCTAAATTTAACCGTTCAAGCAGGCCAGCAGGAGAGCTAGGTTAGGTGAACCAAGCTAGAAACGCAAGGAGAATAACATAAGACTATATTGGGCTACACTTTCGTGTGCAAGGTCGTATCCAACAGCAAATGGGTGATTAACGAACCGCAAGCGGCCCCAGCTGCAACTGCGACGGCTCGTGAATGGGCCAAAGTAAACGAATTATACCGGCAATGAATCCCGCTGGCTCGCGACGCGACCGCGGTAGTGTTCTCTGTGGACTCTGTGCCACAGGGAACTCTGACGAACTATAATGATACGACAATGCATTGAATCGTTGCTGTTTGCTAATTCGTTCGTTTCATCACGCGAGAGGTCTGGCGAGTTCCGTACGTTTACATATTGTATTGCAAAATATAAAGACTTCAAAAGGATAAGAAAAAGGTCACCGCAACCGACAGTATCAATTGACAACGAAAACGCACGTCGGTCCGTTTAAGCAGCCTGTCATGGACTTCTGACTGACTTCCCTTGGGGCGTGTCTCGACTTTTAGCTCTATTTACTGATGAAACAGGAAATATAATACCGGGTTCTAGTTGTTCGCTTGTTTACTTACTTCGATCCGGCTGCGAATATCAATACGTGAGCTTTTAGGGGCAAGCGGCAATAGGAATCGGTATTTGGAGGTAGATTGGAGTGGAAATCGGGATTTGGAGTTAGTGTGGCGCCGCACCCAAGAAGGAAAACGAAGAGCGGCTGCAGGAAGCTTTTGATAATGGTGTGGCTTGAAAACTCAGCACACGAAGTTGGGAAGGCTGGGTTACTACTCGCCCAGCTGTGGTTTGTGTGTTTTCTGTGTTAGGCGTGCGACAATACATGTGCCACAATTAATATAACGAGTTAGGTGTTTTCTCTTGGGATTTATGGGCGGCATATTTCGAAAACTTGGCTGAAAAAATCTCCTTTTCATCTGACAGCACTACAAATATTTGTAATCAAAACTCTCGTTATCAGATAACTGATGGTGTCTATATTCGGATGATGAAAATCTAAATGCCGCATGGTTACGTGGAAGAAATCCATTTATCTAGACACATACTCGCCATTACCTTGAATAACAGCTGTCCTTTTGAGTGTCTCTATAGCGGAGGCCACTGGCTTGCGGGTTAATTCTACCTCGGAAACCTGTGAGCAGAGCTCTTCGCCAAGTAGGGCTCGGGTGACGGCCTCCGAGCAGTCGCATACGGATGGCAAATCGTAACCGCCTTCAAGTGCCAGTACCACTTTTCCATTTGCTATCGACATTAGCTGTCGCGTCATAGCACCAAAACCTGCCAGACCGCCATTACATTACGATGTTCAATACATAAGATTAGTGGTCGAACACTACATTACGTAGCTAGTAAACACTGTTCCGTATGGACTAGTGAGAAACACCCATCTAACCTAAACGAAAAGCAGGATGTTGCAGAATTTTCAAGTTGTAACTTTAAACTACAAAAAAAAATAGGCATATTTCGAACACTGCGCTTAAGTTCTAAACAAATCTTGTCTTCAAATTTCATACTTCATTTCTAGTATCTAAGAAGCCCTTGTTTTTCAATCGTAAACCTATTTTTGGCATCGTTATGGTCATCTATTGTATATTCGAAACGGAATATATCTAAATTAAAATTTTATAATACAACGTTGCACTACGGAACAATGCTAAACCACAGATAGACATCTTTGCGGCTAGACAACATCTGTAGGCCTACAAAACGGGTCTTTTGCAGTACTCACAAGCCGCTGAAACGTTGTATCCTCCTAGAGTTGTTTTGTGTCCTTTGGCCGCATCAAAGCCACAGGCCACGAGCACAAGTTGAGGCCTATAGTCCCTGGCAATTGGCATCACAATTGACCGGAATGCGGCCAGATATTCCGCGTCGCCCATAGGCGGGTTCAGGCCACCGCTCCAAGCTACGTTCACGTTGAAACCTCGACCTGCTTCTTCGCCAATTTCGTGCGGATCACCTGTACCCGGGAAAAAATTACCTTCATCGTGGCGATGCATGGAGATGTAAAGGACACGTGGGTCTCGGTAGAAGATTTGCTGAATCCCATTGCCATGGTGCACATCCTGCACGGAATAAAACACGATGCAAAAAGACGTTACTATATTTTTTTTACTTAGTAATGCCTTTCACTCTAGTTAGGCTTCGTCACTTTGATCTTCAGCAGTACCTACTTTCAGTAAAATCATTTACGGCTAGTCAGCTGCATTGCGAAGTTTTGCCCACCAACCGGACAAATTCCTCATCAAATTTTACACCGATTTTGGCCTATTCCATCATTTTTGCTGGTCGTTACAGGTATAACAACTAGGCTAATATATATACGACGGTATTCGTTCGTACTGCATGTATTTCTTCTAAGTACTAATAATAACGTTACGAGACTGGTTTTCGCCAGCAACTTTCAGATGTGTCCGATTTTTGTCTTATTCAAGATCCGGTACACACATTGCAACGACGACAACAGCACCAATCCACCCCTTCCTCTTGCAAATGACTTGGTTGCTTTGACTATGACGTGAAGCCAATGGGCCGCGAAGGAACGACTTGGGGGGTATGACGGTGACAACGTCGATATAACGGAACACAGCCTATGCTAAATAGAGCGTCGGATGGGCCCGCGCCCCACGAATACGGGTTCGTCGAAAAGTCGATAGGGTGGAAGTACAAGCAGTACGGGGGTGATAATGAGACTAATATTAGAGGTAACTAGTTACGATGCGTCGAGAAGGGGGAGACGAGTACGTTAGGATATAGCTTGATGTTATGTTTTTGTGTGAAGCTGTTTCTTATTTATGCGCCCCCGACAGGACGCGAACTGCATTGCGTGTCAGCTTGAAGGTGTTGACACCACTCATATTCCTTCTAATCCCTTCATTTAGCTGGCAATGCCATCGATAATCTATATAAAGTAACTCAACGAGTGCTATTGATGGCGGTGAAATTAATATTTAGGCGTCGGCCTGGAAATAGAAACAGCTGTAGGAGCCGAACGAAGCATAATAAAATTTAATGACGTGAGGATAATTGATCTATATTTCTAGAAAGGGCTACAGGGACAGATTTATGTATTAGCCTAACAACAACGGCAGCAATGGAAGAGGCGAGACGTGTGCCGCAAACAATGCCGCACATCGCAGACGAAGTATTTTAATGGAAGAAACCAAAGATATATGATTAGATAAACTATTATCTCTGTTCACTGTTTAAAGAACTTGACAGCTAATGACTGTGTAGGTTCTAATGAGATCGGTCATCATCGGTAACTGTGATTATATCATCTTTTTCGAGCTAGACTTTTAGAGGCATGAGTAAAAATGTATACGAAGTGTTTCCTATGCTAGGAAAAATACTACCATATATCAATGGATGTCAATATACATTTGGAGGAGGTTAGGTGACCGCAGGGTCGAACTTGCGCCTCCGTCGCGGTTTTAGCCATAGTAGCGTTTAAAGAGGCTCGGAAGTCGGAAGCTGCGAAATATCCCAGCTTCCGAGCCTCCTGCCAAGGTCCAAAAATCTATTATTATAAAAAAAAAAACGGTCACAAAGCTCCTTGAAGCATAGATCATTGTATTTAAGGCCGAACTCGATCATTTTATCATATCAGCGTTTTATTCCAGTATACAACAGACAATTCTGCTCGTGTTTATTAGCGTAGATGTCCTCATCGATGTATCTATTCATTTCGTATGTAGACATTACAATATAATGGTATAGCAACATAGATTTATCATATACACGTCACTTAGACATGTATCTTACTGCTAATAGATAACGCATAGAGAGACCATAGACTATCGTTCAAATATATTCATGCAATTACTGATCTCGCTTAATTGTTTAGACCGAAACAAGATCGCTAGACATGGCAAACAGCAGATGGCAAAAACAAGGAAATTATTACCAAGATAGTTTTATATATACATATATATATATTTAGGCCTTACCCTTTTTGTTAGGCGTACATAATGGCTATTATTTGGCACATTATTTGCGACTGTTTTTTCTATCTTATTGTATATAAACGCACATGAGGCAGACTATTAATGAAATTAAGCTATCTATAAATTTATGCAGATTTTTTACGTACCCAGTCGACAATAAGAATTCGTTCGAGGTTGAAACGCTGCTGGGCTTTCTTGGCGGCGACTGCCAGTGAATTGAAGAAGCAAAAACCCATCGCTTGCTGATGCTCGGCGTGATGACCGGGAGGACGCACCACAGCAAAGCCGTTCTATAAAACGCGGGTACATGCGTAGATAAAAAAATAGTAATAACAATAATAGTGGGTAGAGAACAGAAGGGAAATTAGCACATGCCAACATATGGTTACGCTGTGTACAAAAACAACGGGGAAAAAATACGCTTACAATCAAACGAAGATGAAAAATGTTCTTTTCCGGGAAGCATCCCGGTGCAAATTTGCATGAAACAGAGAAAATCATAGAAAAAAAACAAAAAGATGAAGATAGAAATACGGAAAACAAAATAAGATGAACTAAATAGCAGGACCACTCGAAGACCATGACAGAGCCAAAAACAGAAATAATCTTTTTTCTGTTATAAATAGGCACAATCGAGATTCTAAATGAAAATTTTATCTAACAATGCGTAGAATTTCAGCTCTATATAATAACCAACGATAAAGATAGGCTGCGACGTGCCAAAAAAATATCTGTAACTTTAAATCTTTCAGTCTGTAAAAACAACTAAAACAAGCAAGCAAGGAACATCTTAGTTGGTAGGTACCGCCTGACAAAACAGTTAGTAATTCTCTCAATCATGTAGAAATTCCGAATACCCACTTCACTGATTTTCTAGCAGCCATCTCACCAAACCTTTAATTTGTATTTATTTTTACGTTGGGCATTACTTCGCACGCCTCTTGCTGGATTCATCTGCGTTTGTCTCTAATAGACTTATTTTAAAAAGCGTGATCACAATTTACCATTTTAGTAACCATTTCTTTTGCCGACGCTGAAACCAGCGATAGTTTTATTTTCATGTACATTATACTGGACGAAGTTATCTCTTCAAACTTTCACACACGCACAGAAGTTACACGTCTGTCTGGCCCTTTCTGCCCCCCTTCGCTTATGTTGTTCCTGTCGTCATTCGGTTACGAAGTTCTATCTATCTCTCAACCTCATTTTTTTGTCTAGCTCCTTCGATGCACCCCTTTCCCCCCGAATGGATGAATTCCATACCTTGACGTCCCCCGCGGTCACTCTGCAGGCGAGTTCGATGACACAGCCCGCTGCCATGCGGGCGGCACCCGCCGTATGCAGCTCGTTCCACGTTGTGTCTAGGTCTACCCCCACGCCCCCACAGGGTAGCATCAAGAAGCTCTTTAACGGCAACTCGAGTTTCTCGAACTCCAACTTCTGACGGTTTAACGGGTTTGTGCCTGGGAACATCGTGATCGAAGTGTGGCGACCATCGGTTTTGTTGGTTTGGAACAAAAACAACATATTTCAAAATCACAAATGCTTAACGGCTATATTCACAAGAAAAATAAATATATTTAAATATTCTTATGCAATATGGTTTTTGTGGGAATATACTTTTAACGTATATGTCATCGAATCGGAGGGTGTGAGTGTTTCGGCGTGATTGTACAGGTTTTATACTGGTGTAGCAAATAAACCCATCTGTCAGCGTAAATACATTTATTAAGTTCATCATATTGTCGTTGCCGTGTAGGGTCTATAATTAGACGTTAGACTTTTCATTCCCATTCAGAGATTTCATTTTTTTTTCTGTTTCGAGAGACTGGAGCCGAAGAATTAAACTGTGGCTCAATAGGTTAATTAAAATTGATTGAAATAATTAGTCGATTTTGGCTTTGTAGCGTAGCTTTGTTTGTGTGTATGGTTTATAATGCTTTTCATTTCGTTCATTGATTTGTTACAATAATTATCACGCTTTATCACGAATTCTCTCAGGATTGATTCCAAATGTCTGATTTTGATTTCAGCTTACACGAAATGACTAAGATTTAATAAATCAGGAGAAAATTTGCATGAGTGCTGGCATATACCGATCAGCCTATTTCATGAAAATCTTATCCTGAAATCGACCAACTGCCAAACGTGCGCTTCTCGTATTTATGGCCTGATTACCACATCCCTGATCGATGGTGTCGTCGTTCATGCTCGGGTCGAACGCTAAAGTAGAATAGTGCAAATGCCCCGGAAGGCCAGCCCTAACCTTGTCGAAATGTTAGCGAGTGCGGCCAGCGCACTGCACATTATTAGCTAGGCCGTATTTCGTAATTGCTCGGTCGGATATTTGGACAATTGAAATGGGAAACGCTTACAAAAAGCGTTCCTTTTTCGATTAGAGTTTATATGAAAACGACGCGTAATCACATGAGGCGAAAATACGACAGTACAACGGTACGCCACAGTGTACATCGACGCTAATCGGTTGACGTAAGGCTGCCGCTTTCAATGACTGCGCACATCCATTTCTGAGCGTCTGCTGTTGACGATGTTTAGAAAGCTAGAGCAAGTTTATATTCAGCTGCCAGCAATTCATGGCTCTGCTAGCTTAAAGATTGATATTTTCAAATTGTCTTCGTAGTAAAACTAACAATGTATACATAATTAAACAAATGCAGCGAGCGTTGAAGTTATTTTCGGTTCAGTGGAAGTTGTTTGTATCCAGCTTGATATAAACGGTAAATTATTCAGATCCGAACTGCGGCTCGAGTTTGAGCCTAACCTTCGTGATGGACCACTCAGCCTTTTCGGTATTACGATAACAAACGGCGTATACCTTGTAGCCTCCGTCTGCTTAAACCCTGAGCCGAGAAAGCTTTATGCGGTGTTTGAGGAACACGTCATTTGCATGCCTATGGACCAAGATTATAACATGACGTTATCGTACACAACGCGTAAATTGAACCCATTCTATTTGTAATAAAACTAGCACGTAGAGCTTCATTGAGCCGACTTACGTTCAGGCTCTAGTGAACAGTGGCCAAATAGGTATTCATTACGTGCAAGAAAGTAACGTACGTTGTTGTGGTCCCGTGACAGAAAATAGTGTCAACAGTCCAGCCACACCTTTGTGTGATCGTGCGTCTATGTGGAGCAGAGTGGAATCTAACCGTTTGAGGGGTCTATTAGTATGCACAAATAAAGTGTCTTCTATCAAATAAATCTGAACGCTAAGAGTATGTCGTATGGTAGATTTGACATGGGCTGAAACAGGCATTCTTAACTGAACCATTATATTAATTTTAATACCTCTAATGGAAGGTTAGTGGAGTCGGGTGCTATGGGCAGATTAACAAGGGTTGCGGCCCAAAAAAATCAGCCTGGTGTGTTAGAAGGGAATTAACATAGCAAGTGGCGTAATGTGTAGACCTTCGTTAGCTTGGCATCTCTTTCCAGGCGGAAAGCTTCAGATGATTCTCGTCCCAATCACGGATCATTAGCGCACTCTTTTCTACAGTAATTGCTAGGACGTTTGTGTGGTAGTAAGGTTATCCAGATCCGCTTATTCGAATCCTCATACATTTGAGACACAATATAGCTTTAGTGTTTAGGCCTATTTTGTGGGATATTTGTTGACACGTCTAACTGCGTGTAGAAATCGTACACGCCATTGAGAGCTCATATAAGGATCTAGGGCAAAAGAGGAATATATATTAATCTAACTTGAATAATCTGTCTATTATGTCTAAATGAATAGAGCCCATTTTTTGCTTTTGTTAGAAATTCGCTAGTCAACTATATTACTTGGATTTACGTTAATCGAACATGACTGTATCAACCGGCAAGTTGCAGATCTCGTTTTGCAGATGGTACGCAGGTCTTTGCAGGAATATTGACTTTATCTCTGCGTAGAGGCTGAGGGCTTGGGAGGGGGACTAGTCAACAGAAAAGGTCAGATTCATTCTGCTCCTCAATCTAGCACAAGCCACAACAAACTGAGTATCCCCCCGTAAGCACCCATATTACCTTCGGTTGCGATCCAAACACGAACGAAATGACGACAGTCGCTAGCCATACAAGAAATGGGCAGTTTGTACAGCTGTCGCGAATATAAACGACATGACGAATACATACAGTGGTACCCTTGGGTTTCGTTAAAGGATTCAGCGGCAGTAACGCTAGGAAAAGACCCGGTATAAACTATAAACACACAGACCAATATTTAAGCGGGTGCCCAACTTTGCTTGACGGCTTGACCATTACGGTTCCGCGAGCAACTGATTGTAGTAGTGGTAATAGTGAGAGTAGAAGCAGCGCACGTAAACGTTTTTGTTGAGTTGCTCCAAACAGACGCGATCTTCAAAGCCGAGGTCCTGCAAGGCCAAGGAAGGCACGCCAAAGCGCGGCTTATTGGAACAAGCTTGACTACATGGCGGATTGCTTTGTTAGGTGTAATTCGCTGTTCAGAACGCATTTTTTTTGGTATACACTATCCGAAAATGACCTAGCACTGACAAGGAAGGCCAGTGCCTGTCCTGGAGACTATCGGTCGATGCGCAGCTGTTCGACCAGACGGAAGCTGCTGCGTAGAATCTACACAGATACGGCGACGAAAACAACAGAATGTAGGAAATCGACGATCCCGTAGGGGGCCTGCTGCGGATCACAGTGAACGTTCGAATTCAATTTAGGGTCTGGCCTAATCTGACAATGGCCTTCATGTTCACTAGTCCGTCTAGAAGAAACGGAAAAGAGAAGTGTTACCCTCAATCAATTCCGCCCGTATTGACGTAGGCAAGCAAGCAGTCATTGGCGTTGCGGATCTCGTCGGCCTCGGTCGTCGCCATTACTATTGCTATCCTAACGACAGTCGTAGGGAACGATTTTGTTATGGCCTTCCGGTCGTATCCCTGTTATGTCGGACCGTCGTGGTGGCCGGACGCTTCCTACCATTAGAACGTTCACATCGTTCTGTGCTCTAGGGAACATGAATACGGACTCAGCCCAGTTCAGGACTAGCTGGTTCCGCTTGAAAGCTAAACGCTGCATAACGTCAGCGTAATTTCCGCGACGTATAGAGGTTTCGCGTTGTGCAATGTGTCTTGCCTTACAATCGGTCCCTAGTTGCAACCACAAAATTGACTACGGTTAAAGCGTCGTTAGATACCGACAGATATACACAACCAAATTGACCTTCTATACAACTTTCGTGTGGCTGAGCAAACAAAACCTAAACGATTCAATATAGACGTGGGATGACTTCCTACAGTCGCCGTAGGAAGGGTAGGTGAGAAACTGCTTCTACGACCACACAAGACATATATACACACAGGCATATGCCCACGACGAGCAAAACACAGAGAAGACAAGGATCGCCTTTTGCCACGACTCATAGTATCCATTAGTTCTTGTTTTTTATGACCCGGCCCATCAAGAGATCCAGCTCTTTTAAGCTTTCTGAATTGAGCTTCACTTGTAGTAAACCACGCGTGTGTTATTCTAAATAGAGTTTCTTCTCTGATGACTGATTAAATAAACCGTACGTATTCTATAGCAATTATATATAGTCGTGAATGCATTTTCTATATCATATAGTGCCCTCGTTCATTTCACTAAGTTTCGTGCTGATTTGGGGAAATGAAATAAATGTCGCTTCTGTTTTCTAGCTGGACTTCAGTAGCAGCAGAAACAAGGGCACCAAACAAAACCGTGAACCTTAACGATGTTTAGCAAATCTGTACGAAGCTAAATTCATCTTTAATGAGAAAGATCGCTTCCGCGGAGCAATGCAGAGGGAAAAACCGAAAATACTTTTGCACTTTGGCCGCTTTGCTGAGCGCAGACCGAGGACCAACAACAACAACAACAACAACGTAATCGTATCGACCATATCGTCTAACAGACGGACATAGGGCAAAACTTTATAATGACACACTGCAGGGAAGCGAAGTTCCACTTAGTTGATTGCTTGGTTTTTGCTTGCCTACCCTGAGCTATTTTTCTCCCCCTTATGGAAAGGCTTTCTTTCTCTATCCAACGGCCAGACCATCCTCCAACGAGCCTAGTTCAACGACAATCAGATTAGCGGAAACGATAGCAGCTCGGCTAAATATCATTGCCCTACGTCGCTAAAAAGACCGCGCAGTAGCTGCCTTTACGTAATCGGGGAACACAATAGTGTTCAGAGAGACGGACCCATTACGATCAAGAACTTGGTGACAGGATGCCGAACGGACGAAGCGAACCATACGGACGGTGAACAGCAAATGCCGCTTCTTGTAAAACGCTTTAACAATAATAGCGATCAGATCGAAGGCTTAGCTGCAAGATGATTTGTATACTATTGAGCTAATATATCGTAACTGATAATAGTGAGTGTTGTTATTTATCAACTTATATTGTTGTTATTTTTTTATTGAACGCGTAGGTTTGCTTGATGCGAAATTCAGTAGAGGTAGGGATATGTAAGCATTCGTTCAATATTAAAATCACCTAATTACTTGATAAGATTTTACTTGCAAGGAACACATTTGTTTATATAGACGATGTGTTATTTACTGGTTGCACGATACGATCAGGCATAGACGTGCCGCTTTCTTTAACCGGCATGCAGGTCAAAAAAATCGCAGCAGGAGTTATGCTGGTGGCGTTCATTTCGGGAGCGGCGTTTCTTCAGATTCTAGGAATCTCCCTTCTCGTCCTACCATTCAAACTTTTCGCATGATTCCCATTGTCACCTAGTTCGATATCGGGACAAGGCACAGTGTACCAAATATATTCTCCGATCACTATGTTAAGATGCTTGTTCTCAGGGTTTCATGCTAAAAACCAATGCGACCAGTCATTCGTAATAGGTGACAGCAGAAGCTTCTATGATTCTTGGAAGGAAACGCACTGTCGTAATGTCCTCAATCTCAAATGCTCGCTCTTCGCATCGCAGACGATTTAACAGCAAACTTAATCGCCAATTGAAAGGCTGCACCTGGTCTTTGTTAAATGTTTTTTGCTTCTTTGAGGTAAGGCGAACCGCTGCCTCAGCAAAACAAATTAATTGTCGATAATTGGGAACATAGGTTTAATTTTCATCGCAGCTCTGGTAGAACACGCGAAAGTGGCGCACGTGCCACGTGACCGTATAGTTTGAAAAACTGTAATTGGTAGATGATGCACCCTTCTTAGGTTCAATCAACAGGTTTTCCACACATTGGCCTATTTATCTGTATAAATAAAGCTATTTTCGAATTTACAGCGTATGTATGTATATGTGTCTTTGGCGAAAGGCGTCTGTGTGGGTAGTACCACTGGACGAAGTCACTTTGTCTGATTGTGAGTATTCTGGCGGAAACATCTTTATTGAAAGCTCCGCCGAACGAGTTGATTTGAAATAAAAGACAAAAGGTCAAAAAGCACAACGAAGACAAGCCTTTTTCGACAAAATGTCTCGAAGACGCATAGATTCAGCGATTAGTTTCTGCGATGCTCTTCATCAACATCACGACTCCTGAGGGTTGTCTTCAAGTACAATGAAGTGGAGCAAAGGAAACCTCGAGATCTTTGCGGCACAAGTCGGCGACGTCTGACTCTAGCTGTCCGAGAGACGACAGATGGTCAACCCGGTCAATCTTCGTTCATTTGTTTACTCAACGTTAATCTTCATTATATCACGTTCGAACACTTTTTTTCAATAGAGATGTACAAAACTTCTGAAGGCGACCGAACTTCAAGCACATACATCGAGTTTGTTTCCGCCTCGAACCGGCAGTAAAATTGTAGTGTTTTGTCTAATGATATAGCGCTCTATGATGTGGTGATATGATAGCCATAGATCAGCTCAACGATAGGGGATCTTGTTAATCTTTAGTTAACGATTGTTTATGATCGAATAAAATAGGACCATTCCAGGCGGAACATTGCATCCTTGACCTTAGTTCCATTGTCCAAAACTGTAGGTTGATAATTACTGTTACTTGCCTATAAATTTGACCAGGGAGTATCCGACAGTTTTGACGACTGCTCGATTGATACGAAATGGATAGATAGATCCATATGCAAATGTTGCTGATGGCGTAGCCGCCAACGAGCTAGGAGTAAATATGAACGTTGCAGAACGCTTAAATTCGACTTTCAATCGCTCTAATTTTAAGCATGAAGATGTACCGTTGCCATCATTTTTGGCTCGCTCTCCATCGATATTAAACATAAAGCTCCCTGCCTTATTTTTACTGGCTTCATCGTTGTAGTCCTCGATGAGCCCGTCTTCCTACTATTCCGCCTGTATTCTTTTTTATCACGCTTCTTCCACTTTTGCCTACATGATGTGTTTGCCCGTGCCCTAATCTGTCTGCTAACGGACGGCTATTATTATAGCATATAGATAAGCGGCAGCGATAACAGTTCCGGACAGTCGTTGGCCTTGAAGTTTCCGCCATGTTTCGTTCTCACTTGACGGAATCATTCTAGAGAAGTCTACTTTTCGTACCACAATCAGTTTTACCCTTCCGTCAGTTCGACTCCGGCCCGACAAACAAAGGAAACTTGTTTACAGAGAGCGCAGAAACTTAAGACGAAGCACAAGTTTCGCTTCGTCCTTTGGAAAAATCGTATATTCTCGGATGGCCACAGAACAAACGGCATGCAGGGCACATGTGTGTGTGTGTGTGCATGTATCTTCGTCAGATGGTGTCGCAGCCGAGAGTCTGCGAAGGTTGTTATACTAATTGTCACTGGTAAACAAAATGATGCTGATGTCAATTGTACGCTGTACGGCATTTGCTCACTCAGTTTTGCTGGTCGACACAAGTCCGAGTGAATCAGAGTCGACGAAACATCGCTTTCGGTCTAGAGAACTACTTATTTGTATAGGCAATGAATCTCACGCGAATTAATTCCTATAATGACCTAATAAAATAACAAAATATAACTGTTTAACTACAATTTATTGAGCAATGAGCTCGACGCACGGGGCAGAGTAAATGTGCCGCATTTTCTATACGAAGGGCAATACATACCGAGTAAAAGAGTGTAGGCCTCGGAATGAGCCAGCTGCAATTCGTCGAGCGTGGCTTTGCGGGAGCGCAGTCGCACGCATCGAGCGACGAGCCCCGTCTCCTGCAGACGCGCCCAGACGCTCTGCAGTCGGCCAGCGTGTTCCGGGTGCTCTGAGAAGTGTCCGCACACGCATTGGTGCTTTAGCATAACGCTATCGTACACCAGAGCCGTCGCCTGTCAAACACGAACAGAGGAAGCGGCAGCAGTTAATAACAGCCGACGAAAAATAACTAAATCAACCTAACATTTTGTGTTTTTACATGTCCTTTAATTTCATCCGAAAAGCCGCCTGATGGATGGTTGAGGAGGACGCGATAGAAATTGTCAGGGTGGCGGTGAAAAAAGCCATCCTGGACATCTCCTACATTATTGTGCATTATAGACGAATGCGCTTTTATATTGAGAGGTAAAAGTTTTTGACTCTTAGCCGAACGTAGTACCAGAAATACAAAATCTGCAGTCTTTAATTATTTAAATATTCTTTTTACCGTAGATGATAGTTGAGGTTTGAACATTTTTACAATCGTATAAGAAGAATAGCGTAAATCAAGTGCGCCGGGTCTCGTCGATAGAGATCGGCGGTGCGGAACAATTCGGTAAGATTCTAAATATTACTATTTAGTAGAATTGGGGTGAGATATAAAATGGAAGAAGGCCCAGAGCGACGGGAGGGCCAAGGATTGTACATAAATTCACCGGTGTAATGAATAGATGACTGAAGCTATTGGCACGCGTATCCTTTTTGTCGTCGCTTACGGCCGCTCAGAGCTTCAAAGCTATTCTGCCATAGGCGACCTTCTTGCGCCGTTATCCTCGTCCAGACCTAAGTTACGATCCGCTTCTACGGGAAAACTAGGTAGTTATTGATGGTTATCGAACGCGTCTCTCTATTCACGTACATCCTCGTTGTATGTATGCTTGCGGATGGGTGGACGAAGACGGCCATTTAACCGATGCAGGAAAAGCAACGGAAGGTGTATCAAGTATGATATCATGATGAACGATTAAGGAAAACTAATAAAAATATGCTCAGACTTGGTTTTAATTATGCGGGTTAGCGCGGTATGAAACAGTGTTCCAAGAGACGTTCTTCGCCTGTGGACAGTATAGGACTACAAAGAGTTTTACAAATCACCGACTCTCAATATAATTGTCTGTAAACGTCCATAGTTTTAATGTTGACAAAGGCTGCATACGCAATTTCAATGTGTATTGATACATGTTAGGTTTTGAAAGGTATTTACGAATTTTTGTTTGTCGCCCGTTCATTTGATGCTTGGTGCGTCTAGTCTGTTTTTTTTTCGAGGAAAATTCAGCGAGGAAAGGCTAACGTACTATGCAGAACAAATGCTGAGCTGCTCATCTGGTATAATACTATGGGACATTTACCTACTAAACTTTATACATTTAAAGTTCAGTTCTTTTCATCTGAGCCGTTCATATTTAGTGCTCGTTTGAAACTGTTTGATTAAACTATGTAATCGAAAATCCATATATTGCTCGGCGCTGCTATACTCACTACTTGCTCGCTGCTGCGGAAACTATCACTCCACGTATTATAGAGTACATACTATTAAAGGCAAGTTCCAGATAAACTCAATAAAGTTTCACTGCTAATGACTTTCCCCTATTCGAATCAGAAGGCTAATTTCTGCATAAGGTCGCCACCGGAAGTGAAACGGGATTTTTTACAAGAACAACTAGCGGAACACAAGATGGCGGTTAAATATCGGATGGGCTGATAACATCCTGTGCGACCAGAGGAGAGATACAGAATAGAACCCGACGCACTTGACCAGATTGAGTCGAAAGTTGACAATTTAAGAACTGTAGAACGGCAAAGCACCACCTCACGAATTTATCACGTTGTATGATAATATCTGGCTTAATAAGGGCTGTACGGACAAATCTGAGGGACCTCGAACGGCGATTCGTTTATAGGCTCGATCCATAGCTCGGATATATTATTTCGAAAAAAAAAAAGGCTGCAACAATCCGGATTCAGATCAGAGCAAACAGAAGTTAAAAACGGGTCCACATATAGATCACTATGGGTGCCCAGCCCCTCATTAGCTGACTAGGGATCCACCTATTACCCGAACTGTAACCGTAGACCACGAACAGCCAAATATATTCGTATACGAAATTACCCACTTTCGAAGGTTGGCACCATTTTATGTTAGCGAGAATTACCAGTTACGCTGTCTTATGTATATATATATATATATAGTACGCGCCGAAGGTGCAACTTTAGACAGCTATACGCAATTGAACTTACTCAAAGCTAAGTGTTAGCAAAGAAGAGGATCGATACAGACTAGCTATTCAAGAACATACTTTTGGGGGTAACTAATTGGTTAGTGACGGTACTCGAAAAATCTATGCTATAAACATGCCCGAAACAGGAATGGTTATTTAGTTCGTGTCGAAACGCTGTAGAACGAATGAAGTGTCCATCTAGGCTTCTTCACTCATATTGGCCTTAGATACGTGTTTGTCCATCCGATTTTAAACGAGACCAATTGATGTTTGCGGTGCAAGATAGTTTTTGATTCTGGGGTATTTTTTTACTGTTTTATTTTGTGCCGGCTCCCTGTTCACCTGGGGATTGCTTTGCAGTGTCTGGAAGGCGCTCGACGAGCCCTGACTGGAAATCCTCTCCAATGAGACTAGCGGTGAACTCAGCGTCCGGGATAACCGACGGAGTTGGTGTTTACTGCTTGATTCACTACACAATCTGAAAGTGAACAGATGACGCTTATTAAACTTATGGATCGATTTAGTAACTTGCCGCTAGCGTACTTGACTATCTATTGGTTAACTTTTAACGCATTCAACCTAAGATGAACGCGTTCAATCATTAGGTTCTGCCGTTTCACCCCCGATTCGTACCAGGCTATAAAATGACTATCCCTGACGGGATTCCCTAGACGTTCTGTTGCATGTTTTACTAACCTTCCAAACCATACTCTTGCCGTAACTAACATACTATTTTCTATTTGCGCGTAATGCAGCTTTTATCTTCATTCAATTGTAATAGTTGCACGTTTCGAATTCTATATCCGATTCCGCATTACCTCAGATGGCTGACACGAAACAGAAGCAGACGAATATGTCTGTGCTCGTATTCGAAACCACGCAAACACGCTACAGCCTCCCCCCACTTAGCCATCACAAGCACTGGACTGTCATGGCTACTTCGTACTGAGCAACTATCCTATGCCAGGCCCTACGGAAGTATTATATAGAAGAGAGAGAGAGAGAGAGAGAGAGAGAGAGAGAGAGAGACGATATCTTCCCTTACCCTTGACCTGACTTTCTTGTAAAATTTTCCTTCTTCTTGTTCTTTTACCTTTGCCGCTGAATCACCGAAGGCTGTTGCTTCTGTTCACTGGCCTCGTCATCCACTGTCAATGGCGTCACGCCGGGAGACGCCGACGCTAATGACGACGAAGTAATCGACGGCGTTGTGGCGCCTGCTGCTGGTGTCGTGCCTGGCTGTTGAGAAGCAGTGTGGCTGCCTCTGCCGGTGACTGATATTGTCGCCGACGCGTCACTCGTTGTTGTCACTGTTCCTGTTGTGACGTTTAGACGTTTGGCTGCCGCCGTTAACGACGATGACGGCGGCGACGGTGACATCGTCGTTGGGGATGCTGCTGTTATTGTTGCCTGGGTGAAGATCTCGCTTGTCGCTATAGTCATTTGTTCATCGTCATCGTCCTGATTCATTTCCTCGTTTTCCTCGACGACGGAACTCTGCTCCGGGACCTGGCCAAGGACGTTGCTTTTACTGCTGGCACGAGTAAGCACTGTATGCCGAATATGGTGTTTAATTAGCTGATGCTGCTGCTGCTGCTGTTGCTGCTGGTGAAGGGTAAGCTTCTGAACGGCGGCAGGGGACTGAAGTAGCGGGTGGCCGAGTGGTAATGGTGCCGATTGGGTACGGCCGAGCGGTCGAAGGATCGACCGTTGAAGTCGAGCCTGACTTGCGGTCGATTCGTTACCGCCAACGACGCTCGTGACATTAACTCCGTTTACTGCGGTGCTGCTTGTGGTACCGGCTGCTGATGATACCGCAGTGGCCATAGGGGAGGTAGTCATCAAGCCAACGCCGATCAGTCCCCCAGTGCCAGACTGCTGCTCGAGGCTGCGTAAATGGCTGCTGTGCACGAACACCGGACTTGTCGGCGGCGTTACGTCTCCGTCTATCACTATATAATAAAGTATTGGTGGGCAGAGATGAATTCATGGCAGGATGATGTATGGCAGAAACGAACAACATAAGAAACATGCACGGAAATTCATTTGTGCCGCTGTTATCGTAAAGGTACATGCGGCTGATTATGCTTCAAGAGTGACTGATGGCAGAACTACTTGACTATGATTATAACACTGATACTACGCTGAAGTCCTCGTTCCGTTGGAAAACGATAGCACATATTACTGCAGTAACTATTGTAATTATAGTTTGACGGATACTATATGACAGCTTGGATTTCCAATAACAAGATCTTTGGTCACAACATCATCAATGAACCTACCAGGCAGTTGTGAACAGAACGCTAAGTTAGGTTGGAGAACATGGTAAGAGACGAGCGGCAGGCCGAGTCTGGCGGCAGCCATGGCACGCACTTGGACTTCCGACATCGAGCTCAACATTTTCCCGTCCTAAACAAAAAGTGTGGCAAACCGTGAACGTTTATAGATGATGTCTCCTGGTAGAGTGAAGTGTATCGAATCAGCTTCATCGAAGCAGCAAATGTTTCATCTACGAGGACAGCTGATTCCACCTCATCTAGCAGTGAAAACAGGGTACTGTTCCCTCTATCTATGTACACCTGTAATACTAATGTTATTGTTATTGCTAGTCAGAGAGAAACTTACAATAATTGGCGAGGGCTGGGCAGCGGACGGTCTTCCGAGCGAAATGTTCGGCATGGATGGCGACGAATACAGCATCGATTGTTCAAGAATTTGCCCACCCGAAGTTAAAACCGAACACGCACTTTGATTGGGTGTCTGCTGATTTGGGGCACCTGATGACGCCCCCGGAACAAGGGCGGCAATACTTGGTACGCCCGGTGGTCCAAGCTCCTCTGAGATAGGCGTCCCATTCGATGAACCAAACGACGAATGAAGGGATGAGTGCGCGGATGCAGCACTCGGTGGTGACCCTTCACTAGTAGACACAAAACTCTGACTGTCTACTGTGACAAAGGACATTCATGGATGAATGGACGAAAGAGAGACACCAATAACAACTTCAAAAGGATCATGTCAGCAGATTATATTGAAATTACCTCAAGTGAAAAACTGCATACAAAATATAATTGCTACTTGTAACTGACCAGATGATCGGTACGAAGCTTAATGGAGAAACCGAGCAGAGGCCTAACCAATATCGATCGATTTGACCAGCGCAGATAAGTAAGAAGTGAGCAATTTGAATTTAGCTTTCGTAGAAAGCGTTGTTGGAGCTATATTCTTGTAAATGTAACGCAAAAAAAAATATATCTGAGCTTTCGATCGTTTTATCGATCCAATGATATGTGGACTAGAATGTATTGTGCGTCTTATTTATTCTAAACAATATATCCTGGATCCAATCTATATGATTTGACACTTCAGAACGAGTTCCGTAAGACACTTCTCTGACGAGGTGCAATCTCGATTGTTCTTCATTAATTTCTTTCCGTTAGTCTTAAGCTGAATAGGGAAGATCAACGGTACAGTGACGAGATGAGCTGAGCGGTGCGAATTCACTAAGCATGCATTTCTTTCATTGACATTACGCTATTTATAGCTTTTGAAGTAAGCCAATGGAGTTTCAAATCTACTAGAAGCAGTACGAACCATATTTCTTATCCAGTATTTGTCTAGTTCAGCAGTAACCGTATATTTAGATATCATCCTTTGTAGTAAGCAGCTATGTATCGTTGCGTGTGTGCCATTTTTGCTGAATCATTATATACTAATACTAAACGATACAACATAATTTATAGCGAAAACTATCGATCATACAGACTCGCGCCTTTTTTTTTTTTTTTTTTAACTACAGGCAAACAAACCATACGAACTCTTCATCACTAATCAATTAGTTATCACAGATACCCGTCGAAATTGTAAATAAGAATATTTTTTAGAAATTATGCATTTTCTATGCTATTGAAAACGCATTTGTCACTTACGAGAAACCGGTATCCTCCTTCGGATGAGCTTTTCGCCGCGACGTCGAAGTAGCAGTGGTGAACTTCTGTTCATCACCTTCTGCTTTAGCACAGAGCGCACTTTGAGGTTGGGCTCGGACGCTGAAGACGATTACGACGAGCGCCCAGTCATCCGTTCGATAGAGCAAAATTTGTCCAATATCGACGTTGAAGGATACCAGCATCATAAATAAGATCAGACAGAAAGATAGGTAAGCGGTTCGCCGGAAAAAATAGCATCGAGGGCCATGGAAATCATAAACGTTATTTTGTGACTTCGTATAGTAATGACATAGTTGTCAAACAAAAATACATGATCGTACCTATGCCAATTGCTAGCGAGCACGGCGCATACTGCTACTACCACCGCTGCTATAAGAAGAAAAACAATGACACGTCTGTCTTGGTAGAAATAAAGATTTAATATATATATAATACACAAAACAGATAACAGTTTTATTTATTTAAAAAAAAATTCATAATTAATTACGAAAGCTAGCTAAAAGACTTCAAAACAAACCCTAGCAGACACATCGTTACATACAAATAAATGTTTTTTTTTTAAATCGATAACGTACGAGATTAACAGTATAAAATTTAGAGCTAAAACAATCTTAAAGCTCATAGCGTTCATAATTTAACAACTTAACATCAGGTCCTATTGACTAGTCCTAGAACATAAACACCTCCAACAGATCAGTTTATATAGATATATATATATATATATATATATAACAGTCAGACACATTGACAATGTACTCAAATTAATTTTTCGCCGTTGTTCTAACGCCACGTGTTTCATTCTAAAATAGTAGTAACACTCTCAACATGAGCAGCACCTATCCGTAGGACATATTATTTCGAAAACAATATGTCGCGACAAGTGTAACAACATACATGTCAGTTTACAATTGTACACATGTATTGCGGTGTTTCTAGCGAGCATTACGTTATATGTGTTTGGTTATACATCGATTATGGCAGGACAGAGCAAGCTCATGTGTGCGATCTCCTTTTATTCCTCCGGCGGTAGCACCCTGAAGAAGTATCAGGGCCGGCGGTACACTGGCAACAAGAAGGAGATAACTCTGCCGCTGGGCAGAAAAATTCGCTGTACTAGTCACAATGTTGTTGTTATCACTATTGCGCCATCTTTACCGCCCATGTGGTCACCAGCATTAACAGCTATAGTCGCTACGAACCTCACGAGAGTCATCAATGTATTGTACTAACTATCGAAGCGTGATAGTATTGGAAGTAGCAGTAATAGCTGTGGTCGTCGTAGCCTTACTAGTAGCACGCATCGGAATAAATAACGACAGCATCGTATAGTATTCGGCCTATATTTGGCGGCCTCGTCTCCGCCTCGCGATGAGACTGGGCCGGATTGCGTGCAGCTTGCGTGATACGTTGCATTAGATCAGGTGAGCAGGATGACAGCCAAACACATCTGTGCGTACACGCATGGACATTAGACTTCGACATAGAACTAGATGGGCAGAGTTGTCTCTGTAAAAGCTCTTCGTCTATCTTTCTTCTGGGCTATCGCTCTATTTATTCTACTGTTTTTTAACCCTGACTTCGGCTGTTTTTATCTATCTCACTAGCTTGTTTCGTCCTCTCTCGTGGTTCCCTCGGCTCCGACGACTCCTTCTAAGACACTATGTTCCTAGCAACTATGCTAGACCATACCGCGGCCACACTACGGAGCTAATATAGGGGCATCAAAGGGTAAAAGAAAATGGGCACCCGCACTCGCTAGTGCTACTAGCCTTTTATCGAATACTAACTAGCATGATGCTCGTTTGTGCTGGTAGGATATACTGATATTCGTTAGAGTACTGCGCGTAGTCGCTGTACCCCATTTTGTTTGGGTACGTTGAAACAGCATAGAAATGGGGAAACGGTGGTAGAAAACAATGCCAATTGGAAAAGTATTTTCAAAGAGTACATCCCTAGGTGACAGATCGGCCAGCGGGGCAGCCACAACTATTTAAACTCCATAAGCCCGTATCATTTAAGAGTCTCCTGCTACGCAGAATTTTATAGCTTGATGACATATTATAGTAGTACATATCGAACAGGACAAACTTTAACCGCAAACGAGGTCACAGAATCTCGATTTTTTTCACCGAAAAGGCAAATGTCAAGGATCTAGGGTAAGCTCGTCATTGAGAGAGAGAGAGAAAAGGGTACATCAAAACAATTAGGGTGTCACACTACTTTTGCCGCCAACGGCCGCGGGAAAATGCTGCGCGATGGAGCCGTATTTTGCTAGGGTGGAACACGGTCATCAGCTATTCGATATCAAAGTGTATCAGCATTGCTAACACAGAGACAAGAGGGGCGAGGTCGTGGTGTTAGCGGGTCCGATAGGTTGTATTGATGCCTCTGTGCTGCTAGCTAAAATCTCAGGGGCATCCCATGCCTCGTACGGCATCTCCCTCAATAGTCCCATAGCCCCCTGTGACTATCCACCTCTAACCGAAGTCATCTGTGCACGCAGTGCAAGGCATTGACCACCCACGGGCTGATGTAATCAAGACGAAGTGACGGGTTCAGGACGTTGATAGGATCGCGTGTGAACTGCGGAAGGTGACCAAGATATCAAGCAAAAGGGACCCTTTGGCACTATGTAAGGAAAGGGGGTTACAAGGCCACTTTACTAAGCGTGTTGCTAGTCAGTGAATTTGTACCAATATTATATTCTCATGAACGGCGAAATGTAGAGCTATCAATGCAATGTAAATCATTCAAGCCAGACTATCTGAGTGCTTATGCTGCATCGGCCCTTCGAAAAGAGCTGAAGAAGCATGTTGTTGGTCACGCATGTCGACATATGTTTGTATGAATGTGAATGTTATTTTATAAACACGCGTGGGAAAATGCATACAAGTACCGCAGTATGAAAAAGCTAACAGCCGTAATAGACACACGCACACACACACACACAAAATAAGATATATAAATGTACAGTTATCGACGAACAAAATCAAAATGAAATAACATGCTCAGTATTCAATTTGCTCTTAGAAGAGACATATTTTTTCGTTTTTTTTTTTGGTTATGACGCTTGCCTGCAGAAGTTGCAACAAAAGTTTATATAGGTTTTACATTTAAGCCATTCTCAACCACACGACAGCGATCTCGTACCGGTTTTCCTGAGAGGGAAGTCGCTCTTGCCAGGCACAGAGCTCGCGCCTGGCCTTCCGTTCGCCGGTGGTGGTGAAGACTGATCGAGCGACATCTGTGGACGCTGAGCCCACGGATGGCGTAGGGCAACCCCGTTCTGGGCAGCTTCCCGTTGCTTCTTAGCGAGCACGAACTCGGCCAGCTTTTGTTTCACCTCTGCTGACACACCGCCACTACCGGTCCTGCACGATGCCGGGAAGAGTCATTGACGAAACAGCCAGAGAAGATCAGTCGAAGACAGGTTTCCAGCAATAAAATTTTACAGAACGCACAACATGACATAGCAAGTTTAGTACATCATGCGAAACGTTTTCTATGTATGACACTATATGTTATTGATGCGCCCCCAGTTCTATTCCATTTCTACAAGACGCTTCATATGAGCCGAAATATATTTAAATAGCGTAGGTCCACCTCAACATACCAGTCTGAATGCCCAGTTCCGTTTTGTTTCTCAACTTGATAGTGTAACAGTTTACGAGGACTTGGATGATTCTATTCGAGCCTAATACTCACATATCCTTTTTTGCATTTTTTATAAAGCTGCACTTATGTTTTTCGAAGCACAGCTTACGCTTCTGTGCCGCTTCTCAGTAACTTAGTGATATGTCACTGAACATCGCACCGAGTGCACTTCGATGCTGTGTCCTAATATCGCATTGGCGCACTCTAGTCATGATTGTAGGAAACAGTCTGTGCCGAGGCTACACGACAATCCAAAAAATTTCCCATGTACCGTTCGTGTCCAGTTACTCTTCTCTCGGATAACACCAGAAGGCTTAGATAGGCCAACGTTCTAAATTCACTGGTACCCACACTCGCGAAGAGATAACGCTACGAATCTACATATTTGACTCATCGCGGTCAAAAGGCCCAACCCTGTGGATGTCCCTATGAAAGGGCCTGTTTCAGCGATGATCAAGCAATTCGCCGAAATGTGCGCTTTAATCTTCGTGGCGGTTATCAACGGTGTCGTACTAACTACGCACGGCATAACCGCAGTTACTAGGTGTCTCCAGCTTTCGACTACATTGTCTACACTTAGCAAGACAGCACAATTCAACCATCGGCACGAACAGCTGTACGTATTATATGAGCGTTAATTGTGAAGTGATTTTTATTCGGATCGTTTGACCCAGGTCTGGCAGTTGTTCCAATTTCGTGTTCCGGGACAACGTCTACACCCACGTCGGATGCGAGAAACAAATTGCTCGTGTTTAAGTTAAAAAAGTTGCTTGTCTCAAATGTACAATTACACAAACAGACTCGTACAAATTTGCTATTGTTATTGGTATTGAATTAATGTTTCAGCCAAACGCGTAAGCAGTCGAGTTAGTTAGTGGACAATTCATGCTCGTCCCGTAATGGTAATGAACGCCTACCATGCTCCTCTGACTAACTTCCCGTAATAAGATTCAGGGCGTATCGCCATCTAATAAATTGCCAATATGACCATTGTACCAGGAAAATAAGCGCATAACCGATATATTAAGCTACAGAGAACAATAACAGCTTAATTATTCCGACATCTTGTCGCCCTTCCTACCACCAACCGGAACAAGTTGCTCGGCTCCTCACCTTTGTAGTTGGGGTTGACTCGTTTTCCCACTTTGGCTAGAGGAAGGCCCTGCTGAACCTACCGACGTGACATCTTTTTTGCAAGAGCTGTTCGTAGCAGGCGCGCTACCGACCCCGGCTGGGCCTGGTGATTCCTTCCGGGTTGTTGATTGCTGTCCGCTTAGGCCTCCCTGGTTGTTGTCCTTTTCCTGCTGCTGTTGATGTTGCGCCTGCGCTTGAGCCTGACGCTCAAGCTCACGCGACTTTGCCGCGGCCGCAACCGCAGTTTCCTGCGGCTGCTGCTGCTGCTGCTGCTGCTGTTGCTCGAGGTACATCTGGAAGTAAGAAGTAATCTGCCGCATAAAACCAGCACGAAAGATACGCACACGACTATAATGATCGCACTAATTGTTAGGATATAGCTAACTATCATCATTAGAGGTGGCATAAATAATAACCAACGTTATTATAAAAAATATTAATAACTCAGTGATATCAAGACGTACATGAGTGTCTACATATCTTGCATGAGCTGCAATGTCTTGACGGTATAAAGACTGTAAAAAATAAACGTGCCAAATTCGTATTGAGCAGCTCAAAGAAATAACCGCGAATTTCAAAAAATTATTAACTTGTAATCTACGATAGAATAGACATAGTCGCGAACGATGAAGATCTGCCTCTAGAATTTCAGTCGACCGTAGCAGGTCGTTTCCCCAAAACAGCTTACTTGTTTTGAAAAAAAAAAGGCCGTTTAAATATGCTGTGTGCTTATTGACTTCTTGCAAGTATACTTGAGTCACTTTGTCCTCGCACAGGTTGTAACGAGCAGGCCGTACTCTACGAATCAATTTTATTATAGAATTTTTTGATATAGCGTCATAGATTAGGTTGATAACTCTTTTATCTGCTCAGTTTGTCTATTACTTTTGTTTTTGTTTGCTGATCGTTATATAGATTTGGAAGCATCTTTCTTTACTCTCTTCTTACAGTATTTTACGTCTACTTCAGGCCTCTCAAATAAATGTACTAGCTAGAATATAATAGCGTTTTCGGCATCTGCGTTACTTCAGATTTTTTCTTATGTCCAAAAAGCTTCTGATGAAATGTTCTAAATGAAGCGGTGTGCAAGATTGTATTAGAAAGCTCTCAATCCACCTTCATAGGCCATCGAATCGCGTCATACAGTATTTCATTTCATAAGAACTTATTGTCCGTGATACCCCTCAAAACGAGCACATGTAATCCATAAGAGACTATTCAAATTCAAACATGCGGACTAATAACAAGTCAGACAGAAGCTGTAAAATCCATTTTTTATTAATCGTATATAAATGTTTTTACTGATCGTATATAAATTGTTTCAAAGTATAACATGGATTCATAGTATATGTGTGCCTGCGTTTGAGGCTGACGGCGCGTGTCACTTGACTTAGTGAATTGATTTGGGTTACATTCAAAGTTATCTTACCTGTAGAGAGCTTCTGACGCTGATCTACCTTTATGTATCAGTAGAAAAAAAATGATTGAAAGAGATAGAGAGAACGAGATTAAAAAAATAACGATTGTCAAGGATCAAATTGATTTAGCGCTTCGCATCTATGTGTTCCACACAAAAAAATGGGCTTCTTTTTGCTAAAAAATATACTACGCGCCAGTTTAGGACAACATTAGCTGTCGGCGACAACAACGACAACATTAACGTTGGTACAAAAAAAAAAAAAAAACAACTCTGCGCCACGACATTGCCTCGTTGGCGCTAATATAAATAACGGTTCGTGTGTTGTGCTTCGTGATGATAATTCTTCCGCGGTCTGAAGAACCTCGCTGCTCTACGGGTTCGCTGAGTCTTGTCCGTACATTGTCGGCCACAAGTAACTTCAATATTTCTCGCATATAATTATGGCGACATTTTCCACCACCGCCCGCCCTCAAACCACCAACGCCCACTAAGGCTAGTTTTGGGGACATTTAGGGAGAAAAGAGACTACGGGATCTTTGTATTTGGTCAGATTCAAGATCGGACAAATATCACACAAGTGTATGGCGCGGTAGGATTCTTACCCACCGCCTTTTCTCGTACAAACCGTTATTTAAATACGCGCTTGAATATGTGTGTATTTATCTAGGTGTATGGGGCTGTGTGTGATAGACGTCTGTTTCGTAGGATACAAGCCACTGCAGTCATCCCCCCCTCTTCTTGTCTCCGCGGGTTTTCGTCTTCCCGCCACATGTGTTACGTAAATCTCTTCACTTCGCGTCATTCGATCTTGCTGCGATCGAACGATCACAGCAAAAGTGAGGCATGAGTAGCACTGCACCGATACGAGGGCAAAGGAAAATATACGCAACAGCCAGTAGTAGGAGAGCAGGATGCAAGCACGGCTTCAACGCCCATAAAGGTGCAGAGAGGGGCAGAGGGAAAGTAGCTCTTGTGTGCAACTTTGTCCTTCAGGGCCAACGGACAAGAAGAATAAGGATACGTGAGTGAAGGCCGGAAAGACAAGCAACAGATTGGAAGGGGAGAAGGCCTATGTAGCTTGGGGCAGAACGTTCCCATTGACAGACCATTTAGCTCCCTCAAAGAGACTAGAGCCTTTCACAGCCACGGCCCGTAATGTTGGCAGAGCAATAGAATAATAATCGTTTCTCAGACTCCTCTTGCTTCTTTCTAACGCTCTTAGCTAGCATGTACAACAGCCAAAGGGAAAATGTCGCGTCGCCAAGTAGACATCACCACGTTGTGTCGCCGTATATTCTGGCGGATGCTATATTACAGCAGAGATTGTTATAGATAGAGCAAGGCTGAGAGCAAAAATTTGTTGTCTCTCGATCTAGTCACCACCAAATGTACTATGCACAATTTTCAAACAACAAGCGATGTCTAACGCGCGTAACGCGATCGCGGCATTGACTTGGTATAAAAGACGAGGCACATAGTGATAGCAACAACAGACAGGAAATTTTGCTCGAAGAAGTATCATCAACAGATACCGTAGTAGGTCATTTAATAGAGCATTTACTCCTTCTACCAGAATCATTCATTTGAGAAGTAGCGAACAGACCATGCGCGGAATCGCAGTAGTAGACAGTAGGCCAGATGGGGAACATGACAAAATAAAGGAACGACGCAGTGCAGGTCAGGATATGTCAGCTAATGGGCCTAGCGCATGTGATGTTGCCTATTCGATAAATGGCGATAAAGGCCAACGCGACTTAACGATCTCTTCATCCTGTCGCTGATTGGCATTTTCAGGGGGGGGGGGAGGGAGGGTACATACAAACACCCACAAAAGTCGAGCACCCTAACAGCATCCGCCAAGTTGAAGGGAAGGAATCTTTATAGAACATACCTAACACATATAGATACTAAAATTTTCGTCCGTGACATTACGCATGTGGTGAAGTGCTGCATCGGTATTCTCTATATGCTCTTGGAGCTACTTCACTGCATTGGAGTTCACTTGAATGATTCTGTTTTCTCTCTTTTTTTGCCTGCTATAAAGATAGGCAGTCAAACCCGACGAGTAAGAAATAAGAAAAAAACCTTATGGGGTAAAAACTACTAGAATAGAGATACGTGCGAAAAGCAGTGAAATGTAAGCGTTATTGTGATCAGTGTTGCATATATATGAGTAGATAAGAGGTGACCAATTGGCTATCAGTTCAAATATTAATCTCATTGATCCTTTTTTCGAGCATGGCAAAGGAATTTGTTTTGTATTAAATCTCTCTGAATTTACTTTGCTTTTAATTTATTTAATTTTCTGAGTCTTCATTTATTTTCTCGACGGTCGCATTCTTAATCGCTATTAATACAGCAAGGTTGCTAATTATTAAATCGCTCATTTGATATGTGAATTCTTCGTATAACTTGAAGATTCAGTTGATATTTTTATTTATTGCCATTTCCGCCTCGTTCAGGTCAGCCTAAATTCATTCACCGGCTATCGTTTACGAGCTTTCACCCCTTCGTCGATATGCACGCTCGGTTTTTAGTATTCATCTGTTGCAAACTAATACGACTCTGCTTGCCGCTCTCAGTCCCATGAATCTGGGCAATCTGCCTTCATTTGGTTAGAACAGCTGATCCTTTGTTATAGTTTCTGTCCGCAAAGAACAAACATTTTCCTTGAAAATAGCGTATTGTAAATGTCACTTTACTCCTCGTTTTCGATCTATCTTTTGTCCTATTTCGCCCAAAACATTTACCAACTAACCTAGAGAAGCGGCCAAATCTGACGTCCCACAACGAAGAGGCCTAGATATATATACCCGACACAGTAGGAATTGCAATTGGAAAAAGCGATCGATTGCCGATAGATGGAAGAGGGGAAGGAGCAGGTGGATCTGTGTGTCTGTCTGCCGGTCGGTCTGTTTTCCCGAATTCTAACTCGGTCCAGTATGCTAACCCAAAGCTGATTGTACGGTGACGATGCTGTTTACTCTATAGACGAAAGCATTTCTTCTGGCTATTTTCAAGGCTAAATTGACGTTGTTCCAACTATAGGCCAGGCCAGGCCAGGCCAGGCCAGCCACGGCTTCACTTTACAGTCTTACATAGTTCATCATAATATTATCGAGCTAGTGTTGGGTCTCGTGTGTTCTTTTGTGCGCTTACATGTCTGCCTTTGGTACTGCAGTGTCCTTTATCTCTTCTCCATCTAGCCATAGCACACACCTCAGCAACCGGTAGACGACGGGTCGCGAAAGACGGCAATCATCCGCCGAAGGACTGCTCCACGTTTCCCATTTTCTTTTGTTTTTCTATTATTGTTAGAGTTTTATGGTTTGTCGGTCGATGTCTCGTACACACTTCAGTCTACCTAATCTTTTTTCTACTCATTCTTACGAATAGCAGAATCTACTGCTGTTGCTGGGATGAATAGCATTAGCTCTCTTTGTATCCTTCCTTCTAATCCTACCAGGCATCCTTTTGGTAAGTTTTCGCCCCTCTGCCTCCTCCTGCCTCTTTTCCTATTCTTTTCTGTACAACGCAGCTTGTTTTCTGAGTCCTGTTATAAAGAACGCACTTAGGGCGCGACTCTTAACTGACGGTAGGCGCAGATCGCCACTAGCACGTTGCTACCAACAAATACGATTATAATTACGGTATCTGTCAGAAACCACGATGCCCATTCAGACAGAAAACTAAACATTTGTTCACTAACCCTTTTTACTGCATGCTAGGGTATGCACGATGACCTTTTCACCTGTGCTACATGTCGATGTAGAGTGTATAATATCACAAAACATTGACAATCGGACACTAATTACCTTTCAATTAAATTAGCGCAAAAATTGCTTAACTTTGGCACCATCCGTTAACTTCTGCAACGTTCCTTTAGCACTT